TCCCTGGCTGCTAAGCACCATGGCGGACAGGGCTAGAAAGGTAACAGCTTTATTTTGAGCAGGGGGCAAAGACAAGGCAGCACTTTACAGCTACACTGTAACTAGATCGGCAGGGCTCAATCTTAGGACCCTGAGATCATGACCTGAACCGAAATCAAGAGTCAGACGCCTAACCTACTGAGCCGCCCAGACGCCCCTCAACTATATGATTTTGAGATAGATCTATATTAACGTATAGATCAAGGTCACTTCTTTTAAATTCTCTACAGAATTGCATTATGAGTATTGTGCATTTTATTTAGCCATTCCTCTATTGGTGGGCACTTAGGCTGATTCCAAAGTTTATTAACAATATCATAGTAATTATCCTTGTACACACCTCCATATGTACATGGAGTATGGTAGATAACTAGAAGTGGCATTGCTGAGACATGGATTTAATAAATATTGTCCTATTGCACTCTAAAGTGGCTGTGCCAATTTATACTCTTTTGATATTATGATGATTGAAAATTGTTGCCAATCTCAGTTTTAATTTCCATTTCCCTGGTTACTACTGAGATTGCATTTTTTGTGTGTGTGCTTATTAGCAATTTGTATTTCCTTTTCTGTGAACTGCCAATTTATATTATTTGCCCATTTTTTTAGTAGATTTTTTTCTTACTGATTTGTTAAGAGTCCTTTGTATGTTCCAGATACAAATCTTTATGTATTACAAATGTTTTCTCTTAGTCTGTTATTTCTTAAGTTTGTTTCCCAATTTTTTAAAAAGGTTTTATTTATTTATTTTCAACAGAGAGAGAGAGAGAGAGGGCACAAGCGGGGAGGAGGGTCAGAGGGCAAGAGAGAAGCAGACTCCCCGGCGAGCAGGGAGCCTGATGTGGAGCTTGATTCTGGGACCCGAGATCATGACCCCAGCCAAAGGCAGTCACCTAATCCACTGAACCACCCAGGCGCCCCTTGTTCCCCAACTTGTAAAGTTATTACATGTCCCTGATTTTTAAAATTATTTTTTCTGATTTTTTTGGAAACAAAGTTCTTGATTATACAAGTAGTATAAACAATGTAGAAAATCTGGCAAATTTATGGAAAAGTATAAAGAAGAAAAGAAACTACCCTGAATCTTATCACTGAGAAAAAAACACTACTAACATATTCAATTACATATTTCCTTTTAGTCTTTCATGTGTGCATGCATTTTTTTTTTGCTCAGTTGAGATTTTATAAATATATATATATATAAATATATATATATATATATATGTGTGTGTGTGTGTTATTTGTTCAGTGGCCTGGTCTTTAGACACAAACCCTGAACTTTTTCCAAAAGTACTTGGTTGAAGGTAGTATTAGACGAAATTCCAGTTCCTATTCCTTTTCCTCACATATCCTGAACAAGCTAGTAGGTGAGAGGTCCAAGGCCTGTCCTCAGCTGACCTGAACTGAAGTTGGCTCAAAAATCATGAGAGGTAGAAATGCTCCAGTAGAGCACTTATTTAAGTCTTGGAGGTTTTGTTGGTGGCAACTCAATGAGTCAATAGTGTGGATGCCATGAACTTTATTGCCTGAATGGAAGTCCTACAAGGAGGAAGTTAGGGTAACTGCTTTGTTGTGATGGTACTGCAAACATTTGTTTCTGTTTTGGGTGATATACTCTGAAGGAGCCACATTCAGACCTACTAGGTGCATGAGGAGAATGAGGACAAAGACCTTCCCTTCCCCAGTAATGGGAGATACTGGTCTCCAGTAACAGAAGACCTGGGCAGAAATCTTCAAATATCTATAAGTAGAAGGACAAAGAGAAATTAGACCTGTTTGTTCTCTGAGGCTCCCAAGGGATAGGACTTGGGCCAGAGAGTGGGTGTTTCAGAAACACTTTCTAACCGGTGTAGAGCTGCTGAGAGCAAGGAATGCCTTGCTCTGGAAATGGTGGGCTTTCTGTCACTGGGAGTCTTTCGGCTTGTTGGTGGTAGGGGGTCGCTATAACTAACATTTATTGAGTGCCCTGTGCCAGGACTGTGCTGAGAACCTTCCCTCTATTATTTCATTCTGTGATACCCAATGAGATAGGTACTATTGTTATCTGTTCCTGTATTATAGATGAGGGAACTTGGTACAGTGAGGTCAGGTAACTTGCCCAAGGTCACACAATTTTTAAGTGGTGGAACTGCAATTCCAACCCGTTCTGACAAACTCCAAAGCTGGTGCTTTTAACCATCAGTGGGATTCAAGCGTGGTATGGGGGTCTGGACCAGAAGGGCTCTGGGGTCTGTTTGACCAGAAGATTCGGTGACTGGGAAAAAGGGTGCCCCATCCCCCTAAGGAGAAGCATAGGTGTGTAGACCAAGGCAAGGTGGTCTGGGGCCTTGCTGAGGGGCCGGGCACAAGGCCAATTGATGGAGACCTAAAAGCCATGTAAGGGTTGTCAACGTGCCTTATCCTACAGCTCGTCAACAACTGCTGTTGTTTGTGGATCTCGAGAACCCGCGCTAGGGCCAGAGGCACACGACTGCATCGGGGCTCCTCTCAGGCAGTGCTGCTAGGGAGCGTCGCCGCGGCCGGGTTCTGCGGCGGAGCTGGGGAAAGAACAGCACGCCGGTCCCTGGCCGGGCGTGAGCCGGGGGCGGTGCCGGGGCGGCGGGGGCGGGGAAGGAGCGCGCCTAGGCGGCTGCGGCAGTTGCGCGCTGGGATTGCAGCCGTGCGGCGGGCTGGTGAGTGCTGCGGGAGTCGCGGGAGGGCGGGGAGGAAGCGGGCGAGGGAGAGAGCGAGCAAGCAAGCAAGGGAGGGAGGGTGCGCGGCAGAGCGCGCGACTTGGGACCGGGGGCCGCCGCCAGCCCCTGCCCCGGCCCCACTAGGGCCGCCAGCCCCTCCGGCCCCTCTCCTCCATCCCAGCGTCCGCCTGCGCGCCCGCGGACTTGGCACCCGCGTACCCACACGGCGCCCCCCCCATCCCCAGCTGGCCCCCGCCGGCCCCCGCCTCAGAGCGGCCCCTACCTCCGCGCCGCGGCGACGCCCCCGGCCCCACGTCACGCTCGCGCCATTGTTTCCCTGCCGTCGGCTCGCGGGGACCCGTCTGACCCTCGGAGCGCGGCCCTTCGTCTCCTCAGAGCCAGCCTCGCCGTGTCTTCCCCCCCCCCCCGCTTTTCTCACGCCAGTGGCAGCCCTCATCCCTCCTCAGGCGGACGCCTCTTAGGTCTGCTTATTTTTTCCGGCCAACGCCGGCACCGGAGGCCAGCCTTTCCGCCCCTCTTCAAGGGCCTCACCCCCTGCGCGTTCCGGGTGGCCCCCAGGGAACTAGCGGACCGCCGTAGTAGGAGGCGAGGCTGACAGCGTTTTCGCCAGAGCCGCAGGAAATTGCCAGCTTGGTAGCCCACAAGTCAGTTATGTCGTTTGCAGCACTTCCTGGAAAGCTCATATCGAATCGCAAGCCGCCACAAAAACCGTGCTCGTTATTTCCAAACGGCTCCCAAGTCAGGCGTCAGCTGTCTGGTGGCGGCCCCTTCCTTTTTTTTCTGGGAACCCCTGAAGCTGGTGAAAGCCGAGGCGTAGATGCAGATCTGAGGCCTGAACCATTAGTTGTAAGCATAATGTTTGGAGGTTTTGACGCCAGTAAGCCTCACCTTTTAAAAGCAGTAGGTAGAGCTTGGTGTCATTTGTTTTTTTCCCCTGTTGTGGGCTTTAGGGCCATTATGTTTGAGGGATGTATTATAAAGTACAGTGCTCTGCAGTGACTAGTCACCTTTATAGGGTTGTGTGCGTGCGTGCGCCCATGCGTGTCCGGGTGCAGACAGGTTCTTGATTGAACTGTACTTGTTTTGTAGTGTCTGCGCACTGTTCATTTTGCCTCTTAAGACAGCGGATGCAAATTCTAACTGTAACCTGAAAGGAAGAATGTTGAAACAGTACCGTTTACCATGGAAGCTTAATGTGATTGAGGTCTTTTTAGACACTTTTTTCCCCCTTAATTTAATTTTATTTTAGTAGGCTTCACGCCCAACGTGGGGCTCCAACTCACAACCCTGAGATCAAGAGTCGCATGCTCTACCACTGAGCCAGCTAGGAGCCCCTACTGGGACACTTTTCAACAGTGGTTAGAATTTACCCAGATGAAGATGTTCAGGCCTGTAGAAGTTAAGTTCAGTAAGACGCAGCTTAGTAATTAACGAACTCTACATGATGGGCTGATGGTACTAGCACACACAGACTTTATTTCTGAAATGCATTTCTTTTGCAATATAAGCCACTACAATTTCAGCTCTTATAGGTTGTTGCTGCATTTACTCTCATTAACCTAGAATTTAGATTTTAGAATTTAGTAATCAGTGTAAAATGAGAAGGTTGAAGGAGATGTTCTGCAAGGTTTCTTTCAGTTCTTTTTTTTTGAAGATTTTATTTATTTATTTGTCAGAGAGCACACAAGCAGGGGGAACAGCAGGCAGAGCGAGAAGCAGGCTCCCCGCTGAGCAAGAAGCCCGATGGAGGGAGGGCTGGATCCCAGGACTCTGGAATCATGATCTGAGCGGGAGGCAGACGTTTAAGGGACTAAGCCACCCAGGTGCCTGGGTTTCTTTCAGTTCTAAGATTAGATTCCATTCTATGAAAATTTACAATTAGCTACAAGTTTCTGAAAGTTTATAGTTGTAGGAAGATTTTATATAGAGAGATATTTACTAATGGTATCTGCAAGCCTTACTGCTGACATCAGGTGTATCTTCCTGAAGAAAGACAAATTACAGTGGAATGTTGAGAGGAGGGATGTTCATTCATCTTTCTCTAGGCTGTTCTTGCTGTTTTATGGGAGAAAGAAAGCACTTAAGACATGTTTGGTTTTTTTTTTTTTTAATACATCTTTTCATTGCTTAGTTCTCTTAACAAAAAGCTTAATTCAATGAAATAGCAAAAGAAGAAGAAACAAACCCCAACTTTATCATACTATTTATGACTATGTTCTTTTCCAGTTCCTATTTAAACATAGTTTTTATGTAGTTTCAATTGCTATGTACATATTTTAAATTTTCATTTACCCACTTTCTGGGATGTCCATGTATCTGAAGAATTTATCTACTTTTCATTTGTAGAGGCTTTGTAACATGCTTTAAGACTCAGTAGTCAACAATGCCTGGCATACAGGCTCTCAGTAAATTTTTGTTGAAGGAAATAGTATTTTGCGCCACTTAAACAACATCTCTGAACACAAAATGTTAAATCACAGGGCATATGTTCAGTGACATTTGAGCAATAAAGGCAGTCAATACTTTGAGCCAGGAGATAGCATCACATATGTTTGAGGGTGTGGTTTTTGGAGTTTGGGTTTGAGACCTAGCTTGCAACTTACCATCCATGCAACGTTGGAGAACATGGAGGGCCTCACTTGGTTTCTCTCACCACAAAAGGGAAAATAGAACAAATTTCACAGGGTTGTGTAGATTAAATGTGATAATTCCATTGAAGCGATATTAGCATACATTAAATTCTCTATAAATGTTAACTCTTACTGTTTTTTGCTCAAAGTGGGGACATTACTACATGTTGGTGGGATCAGAAAAACATAAGAGATGGTGACATGAGAGTAAGAAGATGAAAAAGTAGCTATATTGAGGGTTTAATGAATAGGTTGCTCTCACTAAAAGTATGTGATAGAGTAATAGTTTGAGATAAAGCTAGAGACAATTTCTGGTAAGCTGTTTACAAGATAGGCTATGTGGATTTCTTGAAGATAGAGCACAATTAATGAAATAAGAAAATCTTTTTTTTAAAGGTTTTATTTGAGAGACATAGCAAGAGAGAGCACGAGCGAGAGTTGGGGAGAGGGAAGAGCAGGCTCCCCACTGAGCAGGGAGCCCGACATAGGGCTCTATCCTAGGACCCCGGGATCATGATCTGAGTTGAAGGCAGATGCTTAACCCACTGAGCCACCCAGCTGCCCCCAGATAACTTTTTTTAATGAGTGGTTGGTATTTGTTTTGTTTTTTAGGTTCAGACCTAAAAAAGTTCTTTGCTTTAAAGATTTATTTATTTTAGAAAAATGTGTGAGTAGGGGGAGGGGCAGAGGGAGAGGGTGAGAGAGAATCTTGAGCAGACTCCCTCCTGAGTGGGTAGCCCAACGCACGGCTCAATCTCATGACCCTGAGATCCTGACCTGAAACCAAGGGTCAGACGCTCAATGGACTGAGCCACCCAGATGCCCCCCAAAGTTCTTTAAGGAAGTTGATTGCAAATTGTTATGGATTACTAAATTTCTTGTGATTTGACACAGTAAATCTTATATGACTTTTTATTTGAAATTTGATTGTATTCTATGATTGGTTACCAGAGTTTGCAGTGGCTGTTTGTTCATTTTTTTTTCAAGGTTTTATTTATTTCTTAGAGTGTGTGCATGCACGCAAAAGCAGGGGTGAGGGGCAGAGGGAGAAGCAGACTCCCCGCTGAACAGGGAGCCCGATGTGGGGCTCGATCCCGGGACCCTGGGATCATGACCTGAGCCGAAGGCAGACGCTTAACTGATGGAGCCATCCAGGCGTCTCTAGTTCTTTCTTAAATGGAAAACAAGTTTAGCAACAAGACAATAGAAACCAATAAAAATAGCAAAATTGCCAGCAGAGCAGCAAAACTGCCCTCTTTTTAGGTGGAATACAGAATCAGAAGGATTAAATTGACTTGGAGAGTGTTGAACTATTTGTTCCTGCCTTTTGTGTGTATCTTTTTTTTTTTTTTAAAGTAGGCTCCACACCCAGCTTGGAGCCCAACGTGGGGCTTGAACTCACAACCCTGAGATCAAGACCTGAGCCGAGATCAAGACCTGAGCCGAGATCAAGAGTCGGACACTTAACCAACTGAGCCACCCAGGCGCCCCT